TTACATAGGGTGTGCAGTAACTTATCTTGGGTGTAAGATATGAGTAGATGAAGGTAGCCTGAAGTCCAAAGTACCTCTTGCTAACATACCTTCCACCTAGTGAGACTGGTTTGGACTTTGGTGACCTTTGAAAGCCTTTGGGTGAAATGGAAACAACTTACCTGAGAAACAAAACTTAATAGTATCTGTGTACACACATTAAACTCTCCCAAAGTAATTACTGAATTAAAGAATCACAGATTAGGGCCCAAAAGAACCATTTACACATAACACTGATGAGGGTTTTAAGGACTTCAAAGCTTAGTTTGGATGGAATGATCAGCTCTGCTTCCAATGAAATTCAACTGTTGGGTCAGGTAATTCTGATGATTACAGGTTAAACTACTGCATATTTAATAGTAATGTTTCATTACTTCAAGAGCTGTTTAATTAAACAGCTAAGCACTGGCAGCTAAAGGCAGTGTCTGTTGGCAAGTGTTCTCCCTGTTCACTGCTGAGTGAACCTTTCCTGACAGTGGGGTGGGACCTGGGAGCATCCTGTCCCTGTCAGCCCTCTGTCCCCTTCCCCTGCTGCCCTGCTCCTGACCTGAGCACACATCTCACCCCAGTGTCACTGCACTAAGGCACACTGCTCAAACTGTAACTGTCCAGCATGAAAAGAAATGCTCACAGACCACCAGGACTTTGTAGGAAGTCCATTTTCATAGGAATTCCACACGAGTTGGGTATCCAGCTTTCATTAAAAATACCATTGTGACTTAACTCCCTGAAAAGCTCCGTTCTGGAGGACTGTGATTTTTGATCCAAATTCTAGAATTGAATTCTCATTTTCCTTCTGCTTCCCTGTTTACCTTGAGCAAGTTACCAAAAAGTTCAAGAGTTTGCTGCTGGATTTATACAGTACAGTAGATTTTGTGAATAATAGCAGTATTCTCTCATGAAGAAGTGGTATATTTTAATGGAATTCTTTTTTGGAACCAAGTACAACGTATTGCAATTGATATTTCTCTTGAAACATTTTGACGTACTTGTGACTGTATTTCTTTTTGATTGTGTACCAGTATAAAATTCAATAAAAGAGAGGGTTTGTTTCTAATTTGTGACATCTATGATCTTTCTGTCCATCCCTTTTCCCTATTGTAAAAGGTGGAGGTGACTTAAAAGTGAACTAAACCATTGTGCAGAGTAACAGACTCCTTGCAGGCTTGAGACTTTCCTGCCCACAGAAACTTGGGCATCAAGCAGACATGGTCACAGTCCCAAAAACATACATTTTGCATTAAATATATTATATATATATTATATATTATATTTAATGATATAGATATAATATATTTTATTATTATATTTAATACAAAATGTATGTTTTACATACAAATAATATAAATAGATCATATTTATATATAAGCTGAATCCTATTCACATGTGGTTATTCCATCTGAGTTAAGCAGAGTGTGAACAAGAGGTCAAACATACAATTTAACAAGTCAGATATGGAGATGGAGTAGCTTTTCCTGGAAGAAGCCAAAGAGAGAGCAACAGCTACAGAGCCAGAGGGACAGAGGACATTTATGGAGCCTCTTTGATTAATCACACCAGGAATGCCCTTAGTAACAAAACACAAACTCATTTGAATCCACGGCCGTGTCTCCAGGTGATCTCAGTTGCTGTCAGTACACACAAATATCTCAAGAACCTGTGACTCCTGCTGTCCCCTTAAATCAATGCCACTTCCTCCTGCACAGATTAAAAAGCTTTTGCAAAATTTGTGCTTGCTGGGAGGTCTGAAAGCAGGAGGCATGCGCCAGTAGAGGATGATCCTGTTACCAGCAATAGGTTTGTACACACTGAAGGTGGAATAAGCTATTTAATAAAATATATTCATGATTTATTTTCATGTTTTCAACTTGAAAATGTGTCCTAATGCAATCATATAAGGTATTAAAAAAAATACTTGTTTCGTGCTATATGCACCTGGAAAACCCCATTATTTATATCAGTGCAGGATAAATAGCTTTTAAATTGCAACTTATAAACTAGGAATTAATAGAGCAAATAGGATTTCATCCTTTTGTTTAGCAGTTGAGTATGAAGAAGATATAGTAACCAGCACACTCTTCCTTACATCATCTAATTATTTATTTTTTCTTTTTTACTTTGAAGGCCTTAATTGTACTACAATGTATTAATGAATAACTTGAAGGAGCACTGAAAACACAGGTGATTAAGAAGAGTATTAATTACTCTAAAAAGTGATAGTGTATTAAATGTTACATACCACACCTGAGAAACTGTATGAAGAGACCCTGTTACTTGGTTTTATTCTTCTGCATTTTCATTCTTTACATTGTACCCAAACTTCCTGCAAGGGAAGATTTAGGGCACATTCACACAGGCACAACAGCCTCATCCTCACTACATCTTGCATCATGCAGCCCCATCTGCCTCAGGAAAAAAACAATCCATATAGTGTTCCTTGAAACATCATCTCTGAGAAATCACCTCAGTCACTGCACGTTTAAAAAACAAAAATCAGAAAACACACTCTGAGCTTCACAAATTCAGCACCACTCCCAGAGCCAGGCTCCTCTGCTCCTATTAAATTAAGGGATGACTCCTGTAAGTAAACAGGGCTTGTTTTGAGCTGTGTGTAACAGTGAACTCGCTCCATGATGGGTCACTTTTGACTTACTTGTGCTTTGAATTCTTAAATCCATTGCAGGGGGGAGAACATTATATCTGTTTTCCTAACAGTGTTGGCATTCTGTCCCAAAATCAGTACAATCTGTTGAAGTCAGGGTCACATACTGGATGAATGGGGTCACTGCCCTACATCTCCAAACATGAATCCAAATGACAGATTAAAGTGTCTTTTCAGAAAAAGGAAAAAAATTGCAAACCAAACTCTGGCAGGTGCAGCTTTGCTGCTAAACCCTGTACAGTTCATATGCAACAGCTCTGCAAACATCTCTGTTCCTATAGTCAATGACATTGGCAACCAGTGGTGCTCAAAGGCTACTGCTGTTCAGCCGATGGCAAATCGCCTCCTAATAAAGGCTGCTAAAGGTTGCACTCCAGCAACCTTTTGGGAAATACAATAAATATGAAAGATGCTTGCATGCCTGGAACGCTGTGGGAGCTCCTGACATTGTAGGAGCTGACAGCTTGATGCACCTCGCTGTAAGGAGCAACCTTTGGATCAATTACTTGATGCTATTGGTGAACTGGAGGACATCACGGTACCGTAGCCAGCAGAATTCAACACTCATTTTGCAGTGCATGATTATTTAAGAAAGCAAAATATGAATTTTTTACCCGGTCGCTGGGAAAACTCCTGCAGATTTAAACATCCCAAAGACATCACGCAAGGCTCATCCCAAGCCCATACTTCCCCTACACGCTGTAGGGGAAGCGTGGCTTCCCCTGGCAGGGGGATCCCGCACCGGCCGAGCCCCGCATCCCGTGGGTGCACGGGCACCCGGCCCGGGAGCGCTCCCGGTGCAGGTGCCGCCGTCCAGCCGCGCTCCCACAATCCGCAGCCAAGCCCCGACCGATCACAGCAGCGGCGGTCACCGCAACAACGCCTTGAAACCTGAGCCCCGTCCTCAAACCCTCTGGGGACCCGCCCGAGGGGCAGCGGAGCCTCCGGGCACCAGGACCGGCTTCCCCAGGACACTGCCCGCCCTGCCCCGAGCGGTGCCCGGTGCCGCCGGTCCGTACTCACCGCGGTGCGGGGCTCTCCGACGCCGGCGCTGGTCCCGGCAGCCGCCTCGGTGGCCGCTGGCCCCTCTCTGTACGTGCGGCAGGGGAGCCCCCGCCGCCCGCTCCGCGCCGCCGGCGAGGCCGCACCCACCCACCCTACGTGCGGCTCGGCAGCCGCGGCCCCCTCCCCGCCCGCCCCGCTGCCCCGGCCGCCTACGTGTGGCCGTGCATGCGGGGAGCGGGCGGCACGGCACGGCACGATATGACACGGCAGGGCAGGGAAGGGCAGGGCACGGCATCCCGCCGCTCGGGGGGGCGGCCGCCGGTTTATCCCTGCGTGCCGCGCTCGCCCAGGCGGAAACGGGGCTCCCGCAGCCGTCGGGGTTTTGGGACAGCCGGGGGAGCAGCGGGCACCGGCGCAGGGGGCCGGCAGTGTCCCTTCACCGGAGCGTGGCGGTGTGTCACGTCCCCACGGCCGCGCGGCGCGGGCGCCCTTCCCGCGGGGGAACCGCTGCTCCCGAGCCCGCCGGGTCACGGCCCCCGAGCGCCTGTGGGGACTGGGGCGGGGATGTGAAGCCCCGCGCCTCGAGAGCGTCCCCGGGATCTCTGGGCTGTGCTACAGCGGCACCGTTCTCGCCTCTACTCATCCCGCCCGAACCCGCTCATCCCCGCGGGCTGCGCCCCGGGACCACCCAGGGATGCGCTTCTCGGGGGGGCATTTTGCCCGTAGATCGGGCTCGCCCTGAACGGCGGGGGCGAGCGAGACAGCGCTCAGGGCGGGCAGAGCGAGCGCTCGTCACTGACGGGGTCTCGCCACACGCAGCGGCACCGGGGCAGCACCGCGGCGGGAGCGCAGTGGATCGGGACAGCTCCGCTCCCTCACGGGCAGCTCCGACCGGCACCGGGGCCGCACCGCGGCGGGAGCGCAGGGGGTCGGGACAGCTCCGCTCCCTCACGAGCAGCATGGGCAGCTCCTCCGAGCAACGGGGCCGCACCACGGCGGGAGCGCACAGGGGGTCGTGACACCTCCGCTGCCTCACGGGCAGCACGGGCAGTTCCTCCCGGTACCGGGGTCGGGGCAATCCCGTTCCCTCACGGGCAGCCCGGGCAGCTCTTCCCGGTACCGGGGTCGGGACAGCCCCGCTCCCTGACGGGTAGCATGGGCAGCTCCTCCCGGTACCGGGGTCGGGACAGCCCCGCTCCCTCACGAACAGCACGGGCAGCTCCTCCCAGCCCCGCCCGGCACGGGCCGTGCGCAGGCGCCGCGCGGCTGTTGTGGTGCGGGAGCGCATGCGCGGAGGGGCCGCGGGGTGAGCGCGGAGCCGGAGGGATGGACGGCGTGCCGGGGCTGAAGGAGGACTGCGAGGAGCTGCTCGGAGCCTTCCAGCAGGCAGACACCGTCCGTTTCGAGCGCTTCGCCGAGCTGTGGAGGGAGCGCCGCTTCCACACCATCTTCTAGTGAGGGAGAGGGGGATGGTGGGATGGTGGAATGGTGGAGATGGCTCCCGGCCGCCCCTCAGGCCGAGCCGCCCCTGCCCCTCTCCTTCCCCTCACCTTCCCGTTGCCTTCGCCTCTCCTGCTCCTCGCCAGCCCCGGTGCTCAGTTTCCCCCCGGGCTAGGCCAGCTTTAAAGGAGGTGTGGGTGAGCCGTGTGCCCCCTCAGGCCTGGCTCAGGGAGCGGGTTGCCTGGCTGGGCTCTAAAGAAAGTTCAGAGTAGCATCGGTCCGGCTGTAATGATGGAAGAGAGTTTTAAATTCAGGGTATTTCGTGCATTAGGAATGTGTGTGGTTTGAGCGCTGGCTCCGCAGGGAGCTTGGTGCAGTCCTCGGGAGATTTAAAAGTGTGGTCGCGGGGCGTGCATGTTTGCATCAGAATATCCTGAGTTGGAAGGAACCCACACGGATCATGGATCCGTGCCCTGTACAGGACACCCCAAGGGACACAGCCTGTGCTGAGAATCTTGTCCAGACTCTTCTTGAACTCTGCCAGCTTGTGATTCTTGGGGTCATCCTCTGCAGGGCCAGTAGCTGGACTCAGTGATCCTTGCAGGTCCCTTCCAGCTGAGGACATCCAATGATTCTCTATTTTTAAAACATCTAAAGCTTGTTTCTGCATTATGGATTCTCCTAAAGCCTGCAGTTGTATATTTACTTGTTTTAACATACTGCTTTTTTTTTTTTTGTTTATTTGCTTTAGTGGTAGAATAAGAGCTTTGGAGAGGAATAAGATCACAAAGAAGACTCTGGATGTGGCCCAGCAGTACTTCTTTCCCCCCTATTCCTTCCAGATCCGAGTTGGTGCTCTGTACCTTCTGTATGGGCTCTATAATGCCCAGCTTTGTCAGCCAAAACAAAAGGTAATTGTTCCTGAGGTTTTATTCTCTGGAGATACTAGGCATAAGATATGTGGTACACTGCTGTCTGCTTTGTCATCAAAAATGATTAGGGCATTTTTTCTTGCTTTCTCAACATAAAAATACTTAAAACCAGATTAGAAGCTACTGGAAAATGCAGGGACAGAGAATGTGTTCTTCAGCTGTAGGGTGAACCCCATTACAGGCTGAGTTACTCTTCAGAATTCCAACAGAATGGAGACTGAATTATTTCCACTTCCTGTTAACCAGAAAGGGAATTCATAAATAGGTTGAGAGGGTGAATGACACCCTCCTTGCTGCTTTTAGGGTAGGAGACCAATATCTGAAGGAGTTAAAACTCAGTGCAAGAAGTGGCTTGCTTAGGAACTTTGCGATATATATTGAGTGCACGTGCAAAATTGAGTCCAAATTCTTTAACAAACTGAATTTGAAGTAGTCTACAGTGATGCCATGATGGCTCATATTTTGACCTCACAGGAATCAATGACTTTTTATGAAGATGAATTTAGACAATTTTAAAGCCACAGCTGTAACAGGGTACAGGAGTTATCCAGAAAGTTAAGCAGAAAGGGAAGTGGGCAGAGTGGAGAAAGGAAGAAACAAGGGAAAGAAAACATTTTTGAGCATTTCAGTGGCAGCACAACCTGGTGGGAGTATTGTTTCCTAATCACAAGTGAAGGGGAATGTCCCAGGTGCAGACTATTTTTCACACACCTCAGAATGTGAAGAATGAATGTTTTCAAATGTCAGAGAGGACTTGTGTTCCATGCCACCGTCAAAGAAAGTGGCATAATAATGATCTTAGGTGCATAAAATGGTGATGGCAGTAACAGATGTTATAGTGGGATCCTTTCTGCATCTCTGGACATGCAGGTGTTGTCTGCAGTCAGATCAGACTGTAGATCACAGTAGTCAGCTCAGTTAATTTTTATGGTTGAAGTATTGGTTTAACAGTATGTAACTCTTCTTTTGCAGATCAGAATTGCACTCAAGCATTGGCCTGAAATCCAGAAATTTCAGCTGGATCTGCTTGATGCCCAGCACTATGATGCAGTCTATATCTTCAGGAGACTGAGACTTGCCAGAGCCTTCCACTTCACAGCAATGCCAAAGCCAGTGAGTTATTACATTAATGTCTTACATTTTTAACCAAAATACCCTCCTCTTTCAGTGCCTGATAGTTCAGCAGCACTCATGGTCAGCTCAGCCTTGAGGCCAGTTAAAATGCAATGTGTGGCTTTATAAAGGTAGGTGATGAAGAGCTTAGAGGATGTCTGAATGCTTCTCACCTGAAAATAGTTTTTAGTTTTTCAGTCTCTAATATTCCTAATGGGTTTGAGGTGTCTTACCAGCTGGGGAAATTAGTCAAGGTGCTGGATTAAATTCTTAACTGAACAATAACTTGTGAAAATTGCTGCCTCTGAGAATGTGACAGCAAAGCTGTTTGTTTTGTGTGGTTTTATGCCTTTCAGTATCTCCCATCTCCTGATTGTTGGATATGCAGTAGGAATTCTCAGGAGGAAGTGCCATTTAAAGTTTTCTTTTATGTTACAAACATTTCCTCTTGTTTTAGCTGACCTACAGAACTAAGAAGAAGATTGAGAAAAATTACTTTAAAGAAGAATTTAAGGACCCAAGTGACAGAGTAAACAGCCTCATCACTAATGATGTACTGGAGGTACAGTAACCTTTAAACTGCAGATTAATCATTGGGGTTTGCTTTGTTTTAATTTCTCTGTTGTCCAAGAGCTGTAACTTCTCTAATCGGCAGTCTTGCCCTTTTGTGGAATGCAGACTCAGGTAATTTCAGCAGACACTCAGAACTGTGGCATTTGGTTTGGAAGAATTGTGGTACCTTTTTCAATACTGAAATATGTTCTGATGTTTTGTGGTTTTGCCTCAGTAGGATGTAAATGGTTAATTGTCAGTTAGAGAAAAATGGAAAAGGGGGGAAGCATGTTTGGTGTGATACATCTGCAGGTTGCAGCTGGAGGATTGATACTTGTGATAATATGAATTTACTTATCTGCAAGTTCATAGCCTTCTCCCACCTTTATTTCTCTTTTCAAACACTGAGGTTTTTATTATATGAAAAGGCATTTGATTTTTATTATATGATGCATTTATTATAAAAACCTGAGTAATTCAAGTGAAGTAAAAGTTCTTATACAGAGCCAGGTAAAGGTTCTTATATCACTCAGTGGCAGAACTTTCTTTGCAGGTTTTTTCATTCAAATGTGTATCAGTAAGGTTGACTGCAGTGCTACGGAAATCTGTGAAGTAAAATGTTTCCTCCAAAGAGATGAAAATGAACCACAGTATCAGAATCACAGTGGTCCTGAATCACCTTTTTAGTTTAAATAGTATAAGATACCCTTTCTTCTTTATCTTATTTGGTAGGTCAGTTCTGGTTAGCAGGATTCCTTGGCTCTAAAACTCAAATAATCTAACCACAGTCAGTTTCTAACATTCCTTCTGGTCCAATGGTCTCCTTAAAATGGTTTCTATAACCCTGGGTTTGTACATTGAGGACCAATATTGCTTTACTGCTGGAATCTTTTTTTTTTTCCTGAAAGACACTTTTTGAAATTAATTCCAGGAGCTGATGAATATTCACGACCACTACCAGAAAATGAAGTGTGTCATTTCAGCTGACAAATCCCAGCCAGACAAGGCCCTGAGCTTGATAAAAGATGACTTTGTGGTTAATCTCAAAGACATAACCTTGGAACATCAGGAATGGCAGCAGAACAGAATGGTAGGTACCACCAACCACTGTGCTGTGGGGCCTTAGCAGGTTGGGTGAACATGGAAGAGCTGGACTTCTTGGTGTGATTACATCTCAGACTGAAGGAGAAGGAACTGTGACACTGAAGGCATGCAGTGTGTGAAACCTGAGGGGGGGATGTGGTATGGAAGAAAGGACTTGGGGGTGCTCTTGCCTCTGGGATACCACAACTGACTGCTGAGAGGGACCCCCTGATGGTCTGACCTTATTAAATACCTCTGTAACACATTCTGGATCAAAGAAAGGCCACAGTGTAAGGGAGATATAGAAAATGGGCATGTGTGTTAAATGCTTCTCTTGTTTTTTACAGTTCTTGGCTTTTAGCTGTCTTGTATATCACAGATGTTTAAAGAAAAACACTTTTCTTCCCCACAGAAATTGCTCCGAAATGCTGAAGTAGCTCCTGAAGCAGAAGACAAAAAGAAAGAGGAGACTTTGCTAAAATCAGAGGTGAGGAAACTTTGCTGCGTTGCACAGGCCAGATCTGTTTCTTTTTTTGACTTCAGATCTCAGGCTAAGCAGTGCAGATCAAAGTTTGATAGTGTCAAAATAAACTCCAAGGACAGCTGGTGGTGCTGGTTGCTTGGTTTTGTTTTTAACTCTCATTGTTTTCTGTTGAGCTGGGAGCATTCACTGCTGTGACAGCTCTTAGATGATCACCATAAAAAGTCTCTCTCAGGTGAGGAGGGAAATGAGCTGTATTTTCTCAGCTGGACTCCTTTACACTTCCTCCTGGAGTTTCAGCTTAAGGCAATATTCTTTTTTTTTTTTTTTTTTTTGCTACAAAATTGTCTCATGTTGTACTTATCTGCTTTGAATTTAGGTAAGATGTGAATTTTCAAATTTGAATCCTCCTGGGCTTTGTAACAGTGAAGGCAACCAAACTTATGCTCTGTCTTTTTAATGAAATTTTTTTCCTTGAAGTACCATTTTGGTGGCATGGAAATTCTGTAGAACTAATTATGGAGTTACAGCTGTAGTGAGCTATTGCTCAAGTGGTTGCCTGATGCAATATTTCAGTACTGCTAGAATAGAATAAGAATATTTTCTGACTGGACTCTTATTTCTTTACAGGGTTCTGAAAGAGCAAATGCCCTGGCCAGAATCAAATACAAGTCTTATTCTGCAGTTGTTGAGGTGGGTATGAAAATTGCTAATGGGAAATGTCTTTATTTTTCAAGTTTTAAGTACCAGTTTAATGTAAATGTTGGGTCTAAAAGGAATGAGTTAAAACTGCACTCTGTAATTTAGTTTTTGAATGTTTTTGTTTTCCTAACAAAACAGCAGGGAAACCCAAAGCTCTTGTTCTTGTTAGATTTATCGAACAGTGCAGATAAGGCCTGTGCTTGGGGGATTTTCCTTTACAGGATATCTTTTATTATCTCCTCTCTGTTTAAGTACATGAAATTTTAAGAAAATGTATAAAAATATATTGCAGTTAAATTGCTCAGATTCTTTGTGTCTTAGATATTGGAATCTTGGAAGATGCCTGTGAAAATGGGACTTGGGAGTTTAAAGTCAGTTGCAAGTTCTTGAAAACTTTATTTCAGTAGCTTCTCCCTTAAAAGAGTATTGTTGGTTTGTCTTTTTCTTAGCAGTCCTATAAGAAGCATCTCAACTTTCTCTATTTATTAAAATCTCATATTGAAAAATGTGTCATTAAATGAAACACAGCTCTGGATTTTTTAACAGTCCAGACTTGTGAATGTGCAGTGATGTTTTCTAGGAATTTAAGCAAAATATGATGGTAAGGAGGCTTTACAGAGCAGCAGTTTTTGGAAATGTTGCTTTTGTGTAGGGGGATGCAGCATGGCATGGGTTGGTAATAACAGAATGGATTGGGAATTAATGAATGTTTCATTATTTACACTTTAATTCAGGCACCCATTAAATCATAGAAGGGCATTGTCCTGTTAAAACTGAAGAACTGCAACTACTGAGGGTCCTCCCTCCCTCTTTCCCCTTCTATCCCTTTTCCACCCTGACATCTGGTTGATGCTGATTTGTTAAGTGACCCACAGCAGGATCTGGCTGTAGAAATTCAGCTTTTTGTGTCATTCAGGTTTCCAGATCCAGGAGACATCGGCGAGTGCAGTTGGAATCCTCTGAATCAGGGCCCAGTTGTGGGAAGTCTCCAGGTCGTAAAAAAGGCAGCAGGACACCTCAGCCAGCCAGGAGAGGTTCTTCAGAAGTTAGAGGTACTTCTCCATTGCCTCCATGAACCCGGGGAGCTTGCAAAATTTATCCATTGCTTTCCTAGCTGGGTCAAATTTCGCTGTTATCACTGAGAAATTACTTTTCCTAAGGAAATTCTCTTTCTGATATCCAACTCTTCAACTGATAAAAGTTGCTCTGCTGTCCAGATTTTTTGTTTACTCCTTATTTGTTACAGTTTAAATGAAACTGAACAGCAAAATGGTTTTGAATTGTCTTTATTTTTTCAATTGTCTTCACTTTTTGAATTGTCTTTTTCAATTGTTAAATTTTGCTGTTGATCACTGAGAAATTACCTTTCCTAAGGAAATTCTGATATCCAACTCTTCAACTGATAGAAGTTGCTCTGCTGTCTAAATTTTTTCTTTACTCCTTATTTGTTACAGTTTAAATGAAATTAAACAGCAAAATGGTTTTGAATTGTCTTCAATTTTTGGATTGCCCTTACTTTTTGGATTGCCCTTACTTTTTGGATTGTCCTTATTTTTTCAGTTGTCCTTACTTTTTCAATTGTCTTTACTTTTTCAATTGTTTTTTCACTTTTTCATGTGTCTTTATTTTGAAGATGGAAATTTAATTTCAAAGTTCCAAACTCAGTTTTCAGACTTGCTTAGCCTCTGCTAGGGAAAAAAAAGTTACTGAGGAATTGAATCCCTCTTCAGAGATGAGCATTAGGCAGTGTTGCCTTTGCTTGACTTTAAAAGAGCAGATGAAGTATTTCGGAGTAGTAAGGGCATTGTGAGTTATTGAACTGAGTTGGTGATTAATTTGCTTTAAATTGATAGTGTTAATTACTTGTTATTGAAGGTTTCTTAGTGAGCCATATGGAAGGTACTGTGAAAAGTAGGTTTGTCTGCAGCATTTGACAGCATCTCAGGAGAGCAGCAGTGAACAATCTTTTAACTGCTGGATGAGGGATGCAGAAGCAAAAAAAAGCTGACAGTTTTTCCTCAAAATCTGTGTGCAGGTGAAAAGCAAGTGGCAGAGGAAGCTGTAACTCGGCATATCGGGATGCCAGTAATTGTAGAAGAGGACTCAGAGGAAGGAGGTACAATGATTGCAATTCCAGCAGACCAGTGACTTGGTTTTTAATATCCCTTGAATATTTGGATCATGTCTTGCTGCTTTGCAAAAGCTAGCTTTAGTTTTAGCCTGCAAATTGTTGCATGAAAATTGAAACTTTGAAATGCCATGGCAAAGTCCCAGAGTAAATTTTTTCTGCATAGATTTCATCATAGTATGTTCAAAGTTAAAACTGGTCCAGTTTAAAGCAATCTTATTCTTCTGTAATACAAGTTTGTCTTGAGGAGTTCCATTGTGTAGGGAAAAGTGATTTTTTTGGTCAGTCATCCACTTACAGAAGTGTTCTGGTAACTCTGTGAACTTTGGAGAGAAGAGCCCTTGCTGCCCTCACCTTTGTTGAGGGGAGGGGAGGTTCCTCTCCAGCCCTACTTTGAGCTGGGCTGTGTTCCATGGATTGAGCTCCAGCACAGCAATAGCATCCTCTGCTGTGCTGGAGGTTATCTGACATTGTCAGGGCAGGACTCTGGGAACTGCAGCAGGGCAGTGAATGGCTTTGCTGTCACTCAGGTTACTGGAAATAATGTCATTTTAATTGGGAAGCAATAATAAAGCAGAATGATGCTTCTGCAGAGCATCTCCACTGTTAGTTTTGAGCAATGTTGGATGATACTGAGCTGCTCTGCAACTCAGAAGCTTCAAGGGTCTGTTCTCAGCTGCTTGAGAACATGGCACAGTATAAAAAACCTTCTGTAGTAAATTACTATCCAAAATTGTATGTAATGGAAGGATATGTAATGCAAGGGATATTTAATACAATTTAATACATTTAAATGTATTAAAATACATTTTTTGTGACATTGTATATTTATATTTGCTGTTTTTAGAAGCAAAGGAGCATCCTGTACTACTGAAGCAATATTACATTCTCTGGTCACTTTTATTTGTAGACATTAGGAATTCATTCAGTTTTAAATGGTCAGATTGAAGGTGCCATGGAGCATTTAATATTGTACTTTGTTTACTTTCCCTTCACTCGTCCACTTGTTGTGGATAAAAAGTTTCTTTCTAAATTAGGAACATTCTCCCACTTCTCAGAATTTTCCACTAAATTCTGAAGCATTAAAAATACCCATAAGCAGTCTCTTCAGATATTTTGTGAGTATTCCATTTGTCAAATTCACAACAAAATCTGAAAAGTGTTGGTGAGGAGCAGAAAGGTTTTAAGATGGTGTAAGTTTTGAAGTACAGTATTCATCAATGGAATTTCAGTTGATACTTTGAATCCAGAAAGATTTTTTTTCATATTTAAAAATCATGGGGAGAGGGACTGGGAGGGGATCTCAAGAGCTCATCTAGTTAATTTCCTGTGCTGGATAGAATTCATTCTACTTGAACAACTCCCATGAAGGAAGATGGATTTAAAAGCTTGTAAGAAACCCTTTCTCTTTATTTTCTTTCAGAAGTGTCTCTCCCCAAGAGGAGAAAACGACGTTAGAGGATCCAGTTGGGGAAGCACTAATGTTAATTTTAATGACAAAATGAAAATGTCAGAGGTAACACCAAGTGCTTGCTTTGGATACCTTTGAACATAACAGAAGTATCTGGGACCAGAAGCACAGGTGATGCTGGAAGGGATGCTGGCAGTGACTGGGACACTTCAGCTGTCTTGTGGTGCCTTTATCCACCTGGTGAACACTTCTTGTGGGAGGCTGAAGTTGCTGTGGCCTGGGTGAGCTGGAAAGAGAAGGCTCAGAGAATATTTGCCCATGTAAGACATGTCTGTAATCCCTTATCTCTGAACATAACGTTATTGACTGTTGGAAATTAGTGCAATAAATTATTTTTCATGCTTGACGTGCTCAATTTTATGGTGTGTGAACTTCACTGCTTATCATGGTTTGATCCCACACATGTGGAAATGGACTTGCTGATAAGCTTTTTGTTGTGCCCTGTCTCCAGCAGATCTGGAGTTACTGTGTATTAAAATGGAAGGAGGTAAAGGGTGTTCATTAATTCTGCAGATAACCCTAAGCTGTACAAGGGCAGGACTGGAATTCAAAATGATCTTTATAAATTGGAGGGGAGTGAAAGAAGTGGGTGCAGAAATAAACATGGATCTTAGCAGTGAGAACAGGCACAGCATGGAGAAATATTTGCTTGGTAACAGTATAAGTTCAAGAAGCAGAAGAAGCAAATAGACTGAGAATCATCAGCTGGAATATTTTCTGTACACACTAAAACCAGCAGAATTTGTGTCACTCAACCTTGGAAGGCTGTAGCCTTAAATATCCCCCTCTGACCACAACAGTTTAAGTGGAATGTGCAGTTACTCTCCTTGGAATTTCTCCAGTTGATCACAGCTGTTCTTTCAAAAAAGCCAAAGGAGTTGTGTCCTTTTCTTCAAGAGGAAATATCAATTAGAAATTTGAAAGATTTTGAATACAAAAATAACCTAATTTGAATTAATTAGTTTGCTAGTATGACTGCCAAAGGCCATAGGAATTGAAGTGCTCTTACCTAGAAAAAAAAACATTTAAATGGAGATACAAATGGTTTTACTATCAAAGGTTTCCATATTAAATGTGTTGGTTGGCAAGGAGGAATGGGCCAAAATGAGGTTGGACACTGGAGAAGCTGATGATGAAGTGCCAGAGTTGCACTTGACCTTGTTAATGAGAGAAGAGGAAACACTTTGTAATGAAGGCAAATAATAATAATAATAATAAACCTTACTGCACTGTAAACTGAACAGTCAAATACTCAGTCTTGATAGTCTAATCCAAAAGTCATTATTAGCCCAGATCTAATTATTATAGAAAAAGATTACTTCTACACAGAGTAAAAACCCCTATAGCAGTAACAACACAGTTAAAGTCATCATACATACATTTAGTTTCTACTTTTTTTTCTGGTTTATCATTCACTCTTCCTCTTTGGCCTGAGGTTGGGCTAAGGCTGTGGATGGTTCAGATGTGATCTTCTTAAAAGAACTCATCTATGGCTATAAATGTTTTGGAGGTATAATTTCTGTAAACTTTGAACAATTTGGTTTATTTAGGTTTTCTGACAGCGACAATACCTGTGCTTTTCCGTTACCTGCACAAACCCTTACCTCTGTGAATTTCTTCTACTTTTTGATGAGCAGGTACAAAAAAAGCAGAAGATACCTCAAAGGGAAACTTAATCAGACTATTTTTGCTCAGTAACATGTTTAAGGAACATATTTAATACTGCTCTCTGCAGTATTCACTTTTTCACAACATGACCATCTCATTTCCCTCTCCTAATACCTTTGAGCCCTCCCAAGAGCTGAATAAGTGTAGAATTTGTCACAATTTTTGACACTCAGTGACATGAGTCCTCCCTGCACTCCTCTGCAAATCATGTACAAAGCCTGCAAAGGCTTGGCTAGGCACAAGGATGGGTGCATTCAAATAGAAGTTGTTTTCATATTGTAATAATGAAAAAAAAAGTTCTGTAATTTGTTTATAAAATTACATTGATGGAAAATGGAAGTCATGATGAAGAATAAACTTAGAACTGCTGACTATATGCATGGTGATGTTTCAAAACAGTAATCCTGAGAATTTAGTGGCAGCTGTAAGCAGAGATTCACAATGGTGGTGTAATCTTTAAAAGAAAAAAATCCCTTGCTGCAGTCTGATGGGCAATTACAGGCTTTGAAAACAGGAGAGGGACTTCCTAAAATGCTTAATTGAAGCAAGCTGCTGTCATTAAAAAAACCCTTCAACAATAATTCTGGAAATCCAAATAGTAATAATAATAGTAGACTCTGAGATCTAAATTCTCTCCTGGTTGTAGCCTCAGCTACTGCAGTGGTTAAAATCTGCAAGGAAATTTAATCTCTGTAGTGCCAGCCTAACTTCCAGCTGTGCTGGTGGAAAGGAGTGAGGCCATATGACAGTGTGTATCTGGGTGTTGTTACAGTTTTCAGAAATAAATTGAATAAATATGTTTTGGCTAAAGCTTCTCTGAGGTAGATGCACAACTGTCCATCCAAAAGTAATCACCATTTCTTTGGCAAAGGTGAAAGATCCTCTTAGTGGAGGCTGGAGCCAGTGCTCGGTGTTTGCGAGGATAATGTGGGTGATGAGAAGCAAAACACACCTACAACACCTGGAGGTGACATCTGTTTACAGAATTAGAATCAATTATCTTGGAGAAAACCTCTGGCATCACTGAGTCCAACTTTTCACTAATCACCACCTTGTCAACCAGAGCATGGCCCTGAGTACAATGTCCAGTCTTTTCTTGAGCACCTGGAAACTGTTTAAGTATACAATATAATTTTTATTCTTATTAAAGCAACCAACAAGATCTCATTAAATCAAAGTAAGTGTAAAAGACTGGGCAAATTAAGCTCTAATACCAGCTTAGGGATGCTCCTGTTAGCAACTGTGCTCAAGCTGGAGGTTTTTGCAGCCTTCAAACTGAAGTTGAAATAGCAATATGGAAGTGATGTGAAAAAATTCCAAATGCTATGGGTGACAGTGGAGATCTCTGTGTGTACAGCTTAGTGTCAATGTAGGTATCACCTCTAGAATAACTGGAGACTCCTGCAGTAAAAGGGATTTTGCTGTTTGTTATAAGGCCAGATTGTTTATTGTGAAATTCTCTTATTGAGTGAATTTGTGTTGCTACCAATTGCACATGTCTACTGTAGTGAGCACGGAGAAAAATTAATTAATCACCATCTGCATAAACACACATTACAAAGCTGGAGAGACTCTTCCACTCATTCTAAACCTTTTCTTTTTCAGACCAAAATCAAAAGCAGTCTGTTTTCTTTTTGTTGCCTTTTTTTTTAGGAATTCCAAAGGTAGACCTGATCCTAAAGGACTAAAAAATTATTCTGGTGGTATACTTAAATGTCTTATGTAACTGGACTCTGCAGAGTGTTTGTATTCTCTCATCACATGAACCCTGCATAGCAAGTTTCTTCAAATGACACTGATATTTTATCCCTTGTCTGAAGTGTTTCATTTTGAAGTTCATTCTGCATATGGAGTTGCCTATTTAGATTTTACAAAGCTTGCTAAGTGGCTTCCTCAGCCCATTTTCATCTTGGTCCTCAAATCTGGGCACATGGTTAAGCCAGATAATGGAGTATTTCCCCCCTCCATGTGCAGCCCAATGTTTGGAAATAGAACTCCTGGAATTTCTCAGCTACAAGGAATTTAAAATGTGCTAAGCTCTGTCTTTCTCTTAGCACTTAGAATTGTAGAAGATCCTGATATGGATGGGACATACAAAAATCATTGGAGTCCAAATCCTGGCCCAGCATGGAGTGCAAATGTGCCTGAAAGCCTTGTCCAAATGCTGAACTCTGTCAGCCTTGGTGACCAGAGCCCTGGGGAGCCTGTTCAGTGCCCGAGCGCCGTTTGGAGGAAGCACCTTTCCCTGATATCCAACCTGAACCTCCCCTGACACAACCTCAGGTCATTCCCTCAGGTCCTGTCAATGGGCACCAGAGAAGAATCAGTGCCTGCCCCTCTCTTCCTACAAGGGGAAGTTGTACACTGTGATAAACTCTCCCCTCAGTCCCCTCCAAGCTGAGCAGACCAAGTGACCTCAGCTGCTCTTGTGTGGCTTCACCTCTGGGCCTTTCACCATCTTCACAGCCCCGGGTCAATCTCTCTGCTGTGACACAGTTTGGCTGTAAGAGAAACCATCAAAGGAACATTACCTTTCAGCCAACAGACACCAAACTGCTTCCTCTTTAGTCGCAGCAATGTAAATCTGGGAAATAAGGCGGGACATGAGAGGACATAACCATCAGCTGCTAAGGGTTGTTGGAGATGGGGAGTAACTTGGTTTTTTCTTATAAAAAAAAGGTTTTGGAAAGTGAGGCAGCAATTAAATCCTAGAGACAGGCTGGGTGCATCCTGCTGAGCAGGTGATTCTGACACAGGGCTGGAGCTGTCGCTGTCCATCCCGCTGGGTTGGGGGCTGCCCGCTGTACTCACACGTGCTCAGCCCAGTCCTGAGCACCATCAATAGCCACGGTACAGCATTTTGGAAGACGCAGCCAAGCCCCCAAGCCGCATTTCGGGGTGCGATGTGGCCGAGCCCCGTTTGGCGGTGCCGCCCCGGCAGAGGCAGCGCCGCTCCCTCCCGCAGCCCCGCGGGACCCGCGGCCGCGCCCGCTCCCCCCGCTGCCCGCGCCGGGCGGGGATGCAGCGAGCGGGGCCGAACCGGCGGCACCTTCCGCGCTGCCTCCCGCGGGCTCCGCTCCGCGCCCAGCCGGGCCCCGCCATGGCCACCGACGGTGAGTGCGGGCAGGCCGTGCCCGGGGCTGGCCCGGGATGCGGGATGAGGGATGCTCCGGGATGCAGGATGCTGAAGGGAGAGGGAGCAGGATGCTGATGGAAGGGGGATGCTGCCGGGAGCAGGATGAGGGAGTGGGATGCCGATGGGAGCAGGATGCTGCGGGGAGCAGGACACTGAGGGGAGCAGGATGCTGAAGGGAGAGGGATGCTGATGGAAGCGGGATGCTGCGGGATGCAGGATGCTGAAAGGAGAGGGAGCGGGATGCTGATGTGGGAGCAGGATACTGCGGGAGGGGGAGCGGGATGCTGATGGGAGCGGGATGCTGCGAGGAGCGGGATGCTGTGGGATGCGGGATGCTGGTGGAAGCGGGGCACTGAGGGATGCTGACGGCCCCCGGAGGGGGAAGCCGGGCCCAGCCGCCGTGGCCCTGCCCCTGGGGCGGTGAGGAGCCTCGGCCGTGGGGCCCGGGCCGGTGGGAGAGCAGGTTCGGGGGTCGCTGTCCCCTCCCGGGCCGGCTGCGGGCGGGGCCCCTCGGCTGTGCCCGCGGTCTCACAGCGAGCGGG